TACTGTAGAGATGAGGTCTCACCAAGTTGCCCAGGTGGGTCTCGAACCCACGGGCTCAGGTAATCCACTTGCCTTGGCCTCCCAAAGTGCTGGAATTGCAGGCTGAGCCACCGAGCCCTGCCAGGGGTTTTTTTGTTTATTTGTTTGTTTGTTTGAATTGAGGTCTTACTGTCGGCCAGGCTGGAGGGCAGTGGCACCATTATGTCTCACCACAGCCTTGACTTCCTGGGCTCAGGTGATCTTCTGCCCCGGCCTCCCAAGTAGCTGGGGCTGCAGACTCGCACCACCGTGCCTGGCAATTTTTTTTGGTCAAGACAAGGTCTTGCTGTGTTGCCCAGACTGGTCTCGAACTCCTGGGCTCGAGCCATCCTCCTGCCTCAGCCTCCCAAAGTGCTGGGATGACAGGCGTGAGCCACTGTGCCCAGCCTCGGACCTTCCCTTGGTCAATGTGAACTGAGGGTGAGCTAAGAACATCAAGGCTCAACTAAGCTTTTTTTTGTCTCTTTCGGCTGACACATCACTTCCTTCCTGTTCCATCTTTCTCCCTGGGTCAGGCTACAGCGGCTGCCCCGCGGTCCCGCCGCACCAGGGCCTGCACCCCCTCCAGCAGCGCCACGTGACGGTGCCCACCAGTGTGCCCCAGCAGCAGGTGTTCGCGCTGGCCGAGCCCAAAAGGAAGCCCTCTCTGTTCTGGCACACCTTCCACAAGCTCACGCCCTTCCGGAAGTAAGAGTGGAGGCCGCCTCCACGGAGGCCACAGTGAACGGGAGAGCCAGCCTCGTCCCTTCTGCACTTCCACCCAAGGACAGTCTCTTGGACCCTGTGTTTTCTGAGGCATCATGGAGGAGGGAAGGACTCAGACTCCCCTTCAGCCTTCCGAGACCTGACTGCCTTCGTGGAAGGACGGAGAAGGCCGTGACACACAGCTCTGTCCCATGCAGGTGCCTGGGACCCGCACAGAGGGGGTCGAGGCGTGGGACCAGGCTCTGAGGTGACTACGACGCCATGACCCAGTGCGCCCCCGCCCATGACAGCTCACCCTGCTGCGGGCCCAGCCCAGCGCCCTGCGCTCAGCAGTCCCCGGGAATGAGGACATCGGGGATGATGACTTTGGTGCTGGACTTTGAAGGGAATCGTGACGACGGGGCTGGTGCGAAGCTGCGTGTGTCTGGTCCTTCCGGAAGGTGGGCTCTCTCTCGCCCCCTTGAGGAGTGGCCATGCCGCTGCCGAGGGCCTGACCCTGTCGTCCCTGGTGTCGTCTGTGTCCACACAGTCGCCACATGGTCGTGAGGCGTCCCCTTGCGAGGGTCCTCTTCCTGCAAGCAGCGGGAGAAGAGCGTGGCATGGCTGTCACCTGGTAGCAGGTGGCAGAGCAGAGTGACTCAGCGTCCTCGATGCTGCTGTTACAAGGCGAGGTGGGCGCGATCCTACATGCATCGGGCTTGTCCTCATGTCAGGACCCCCGCCCGTGTGCCCCGAGTAACTCCACGACAGAAGTCGCGTCTTCCCCCCATGCTGTGACCTACACAGCTGCCATTCAGACAAGTGTTGGCCCTAGAAGCCATGTGCTCTGATTTCCATGGTGAGGTGGGTGTGGAAGATATTCTCAGAGTATCCCCTCCCGGGTCCCCCCACCCTCCCGTGAAGTCTCCAAGACACCCACGGGGAAGCCGGGGCCAGGCAGGCCAGCTTCCCGGGATCCGACACCACCTTCGGCACGGGCACCCCAAGAGCAGAACGTGGCCAGCCACCAAGAGCACTCGGGCCGGCTTCTGGGAACTCGTTCCCTAGACAGAGTCTCTTTGAAGGCCACAAGGCTGGCACCTGCAGGTCGTAGCCTCCTCTTGGTCTGTGATGTGCCTTTGATGGAAATGGCATGTCCCTCTGTCTCGGGCAGGCGGGCTCTGCAGGAAAAGTGCCTGTCACCCTGCTCAGTGCCTGACTGGGCCGTGTTGGGTCCCATGGTTTGGAGTTTCCATTTGAAAAATCTCATTTTTGTATACGACTGTCACAGAGGTTTTTACCCTTAGCGGGCCGTGCTTGAGAATAAACAGAGCTGTGATGTCAGATGAAGTGTAACCTCCAGTCCCCGAGTGTGGGGCTCCCCCACTCAGGCCAAGGGTTTCCAGAAGGACGTCATGTATGGAGTGACACAGCTAAGAGCCCCTCTGTCAGGCCCTTCCGGCCTCCTGCAACTGCTCACAGCCCACCAGGCTGCCCTGGCGTGTCACTTACAGGATATGCTGCTGAGAATCCCTGGTACCCTTGGCTGACACCTCCCAGGGGTTTTCGGGGGCTTTTCCCATGTCCTAAGGGAGGGGTTGGTCATGAGGAAGCCCCTCAGAGGCACCGGGGCGTGTGGGGGGTGTCCGTGTCCTTGAGAAGCTGACAGTTCTAACAAAAGTTAAAGATCTCTTTGGGCAGCTTTTCCTGAACAGCTCAGTGGTTTCTGCAGGGGTCTCTGTACTAAGGACTTGTCTGTATGTATAACAAACTTGAGCCAATTTTTTTTTTTTTTTGCATCAGAGTGTCCCTCTGTCAACCAGGCTGGAGTGCAGTGGCACGCTCACAGCCACTGCAGCTTCGACCTGCTGGGCTCCGGCAATCCTTCCACCTCAGCTTTCCAAGTAGCTGGAAACACAGGCGTGTGCCACCATGCCTGGCTAATTTTTTGATTTATTGTGGAGATGAGGTCTCGCCAAGTTGCCCAGGCTGGTCTTGAACCCCTGGGCTCAGGCAGTCCTCTCACCTCAGCCTCCCAAAGTGCTGGGATGACAGGCATGAGCCACCACATCCAACCGTGAACCAGTTTTGTTAGTGTCACCAGAGAGAATGGCTTTAAGGAAGAATGAGAATCAGCTGCTTTTGCAATGTTGTCAGTGAGGATTCAGTTTGAGGACAGAGGCCCTCCCGGAGCTTCCACTTCCTCTTGTTTACTCCTGGGTCTTGGGCCAGGGCTTTAAATGGCATGGCTGGTCCTAATTTATTTCCCAGCTGAGCCACCTTCCGGCCCCCACCCGCCTCCATGGACTTCCTCATGGGAATCATGAATTCCAGGACATGATTTTGTGGAGTCAAGTTCAGTTCCAGTCCCGGGGTTGCTGCCGTCATTTTTCTAGTGTGAGGATGCTCCATCAAACACTTGTCCTGGGTTTTCAGGTGTTTTTGACAACTGTGAGCATTGTTTTTAAAAGGGCAGACCTACCTTTGACTTCTTGAACATCTGTATGACTCGCTTTGGGTTGCATTGTCCAATACCTGAGTTTTGTCTTTTTTTGTCTCACTCTGTCGCCCAGGCTGGAGTGCAGTGACACACTCACTGCCGCTGCAGCCTTGACCTGCTGGGCTCAGGCAATCCTTCTGCCTCAGTCTTCCAAGTAGCTGGAACCACAGGTGTGTGCTACCACGCCCAGCTAATTTTTTGATTGACTGTACAGACACTGGAGTGTTGCCCAGGCTGGTCTCGAACCCCTGGGCTCAGGAAAATCTCGGCCTCCCAAAGTGTTGGGATCACAGGCATGAGCCACTGCGCCCAGCCAATACCTGACTTCTTCAGAGGATGGAGGGCTCAGGTGTTTCCATTTGGCAAACTTGCTTCTGGATTTAAATCACGTGTTCCCCTTGGAACAAGAGACGCTTCCAGAAGCTCCAGTGTGGACTGAGTATGGGCCTCCCTGGGACTCTTGCTCTCTCCTGTCTCTCTCTCTGTCTCTCTCTGTCTCTCTCTGTCTCTCGCTCGCTCTCTCTCGCTCTCTCTTGCTCTCTTTCATCTTGCATAATATTAGCGGGTCAAAGACCAAAAAAGAAAACATTCTGACGAGTTTCACCTGTTCTAGTTTTCATACATTGGCACCTGTTGACTTGGTTGCAAGACAGTGGATGCGGCCTCGGGCCAAGAGCAGCCTCTTCCATCTTGATCCCACCCGAAACACACAACAACCCGCAGTGAGTCACATTCAGTCATAAAACCAGACTTGCCAAGTCCTGGGGAAACAGCACGGCCCATCTCCAACCTGCATCCCAGAAGGAGGGCGGGCGGCTGCCAGGGTTTCCTGGGACATTGTCCGCGTCGGTCTCTTGCCTCAAGTCTGGCTTCTGTGTCCCACTGGAAGGTCTGATGTAGCTGAACTCCCTTCACCACCATCTCACAGTATTTCTGAGCATCGTTGTGTCTTTTTATGCCTCATCCAGATGAAGACAGATGCCACACCCGTTCAGGAAAGCCTCACACCTTGCATGGCTCTTACGTGGACACACGGCAAAGGCACACATTTTTTTTCCTTCGGTTGGAGTCTCGCTCTGTCACCCAAGCTGGGGTGCAGGGGCATGCTCACAGTCCCCACAGCCTCGACCTGCTGGGTTCAGGCAATCCTTCCTCCTCAGCCTTTCAAGTAGCTGCTAGTACAGGTGTGCGCCGCCACACCCAGCTAATTTTTTGACTTATTGTAGAGACAAGGTCTCACCAAGCTGCCCGGGCTGGTCTCCAACCCCTGGGCTCAGGCAATCCTGTCACCTCCACCTCCCAAAGTGCTGGGATGACAGGCGTGAGGCACCACGCCGGGCCACAAAAGCACATTTAACTCAACATTTGGCTCCCACTGTAAACCTTTTGTAAATCTTTCCAAGGCTGATCGCTGACATTTCTCAATACAAGTCAACTGAATTTCCTCACCAGAATGAACCAGTCTGGTCACCAGAGTGAGGGACAGTATTTCTGCACTGTTTTCGTCAGAAGGAGAAGAAACAGAAGCGGCCCTCCCAGGATAGCCCCGGCAAGTGTGAGCAAATGTCCTTTCACTGGTGTCCTATCCAGGGAGGCCTGACACAAGTTAGCTTTTAGGCTAGGCTGCCGGCAGGCTAACTCCGCCCTGTGATAAGCTTCACCTACAAACTGTCCCCTCTGCTAAAATTCCCCTTGGCCAATGCTGTTGTTTTCAGGATGTAATGAAAGTGAGTTCAAAAGGCTTAAAAATAAAAGTGGAAACTAGGATGGTCTTGAAAAAGAAAAAAAAGCAAAATCTTAAATATTTAATGTAAGTTCACTTAACTACATGTTTTTCGCTATTGCCTGTAGCGATAGGCATTGACATTTTGTGTTTAGAAAATCCTTTTTAACTGATTCTGTAATTTAACAATGCGTCTTTTTTTGTAAATATTAGCGTCCACCATGGATGACTTGCTTACCTGTTTGCAAGGCTTTGGGTGGCCTTTTAGCTCAGTACCACCAAAGCCCATGTTACCTGTATATGTCACGTGACCAAACGAATGCATTAGCTGTTGACAGGTGAAGCATCGTGTACAAGATTGCTGTAACTTGAGATGTATTTTTGTTGAATGAAGTTTTTTGTAAAAAAAAAAAAAAAAAAAGATTTACAATGTCATTTGAATGATTTCTTGTAAATGCTGTGAATCTTTGTTTTGTACCTGTATATTAAAAATTAATTTGCCAAACCGGTTCTAGTCATGCACTCGAGAAAAATAAGATAAACCCATTTATTTATTTATTTAGAGATGGAATCTCACTCTGTTGCCCAGGCTGGGATGCGGTGGCACAATCATAGCTCACTGTAGCCTCAAATTCCTGGGTTCAATGGATTCTCCTACATCAGCCTCCTTAGTGGCTGGAACTACGGGCACTACCACACCCGGCTAGTTTTTTGGTTTTTTGTGAAAGACAAGTTCTTGCTATGTTGCCCAGGCTGGTCTTGAACTCCTGGCTTCGAGTGATCC